GACGTGAATCCGGGCAGGATGCCCAATCGGCGTCGGCAAATGCGTTCAAACATAACGAAGAATGGACAGAGTAAAAGATACCTTGCCCAGGGTTGGATTTCAGGTAACGGATGACCCGCTGAGCAGCGAAGAGGTGAACCGAAGTTGGACAGGATAGATACTGGCTAAGCTTGTGGACGGCGTAAGTAATGTCCGGGCGCGTAATCGTTAAGTATAACAAACGACCAATGAGCCGACGGTAGCCAGTAATGTCGGTTAACCTTTCTCCCGAATCTTTCGATAGCTTGATACCTGGGTCGAGAGGTGTTGCAACGGGTTTACATGCTAAAAAACCAGAATCCTCAATCAAGTCAAGACAATACTTCCGCTGACTAAGAGAAATACCCAGCTTAGACCGAGCCACTTCCAACCCGAGAAAGTAACGCAAATTCCCAAGGTCCTTAATATTGAATGTCTGCTTCAGCAAGTTCTTCAAGCGGGAAACAGAAACGTTATCATTACTGGCAATGACGATATCATCAACATAAACCAACAGAGCAAGGAATGAAGTATCTGACTTTTTGACGAACAATGTGTGATCAGCAGGTGATTGGATAAAACCATCAGAAAGCAGAACATTAGCGAAAGTGATGTACCACTGGCGAGATGCCTGTCGAAGCCCATACAGTGATTTGTGTAACTTGCAAACAGCATTTGGAGGCAAGTCAACACCGGAGTGAGGCGTGTACCCCGGAGGCAACGTCATGTAGATTTCCTCATCGAGCTTTCCATGGAGGAAAGCGTTAGTGACGTCTAATTGGGTCAGAGTCCAACCTTGCGTGGCTGCCAAAGCAAGGAGCAATTTAACTGTGACAAGTTTAGCAACAGGAGAAAAGGTATCGAGGAAATCGACCCCTTCTTGCTGCGTGTAACCCTTGTCGACTAGACGCGCCTTAAAGCGATCAACAGAACCATCAGCTTTCCTCTTAACCTTGTAGACCCACTTACATCCGACCGCTTTCTTGTCGTTAGGGAGAGACACGACAGACCATGTACCATTCCCATGTAGAGCGTCGAGTTCAGTTTTCATAGCAGACCTCCATTCAACCGAGGATATAGCTTCTTTGAAATTTCTGGGTTCAGACAGGATGGAAGTATTTAACACAAAGGCTTTGTATGAGGGAGAAAGACGATGGTAAGATAAGACGGAGGAGAGAGGGTAAATTGAAGAAGAGGATGGAAAGGAGGAACAGGATTTTAAAAGATAGCAGTGGTAATCGGTAAGATATTGGGGAGGCTTGGTCTGGCGATGTGGGCGAGAGACTATTTCGTCCACAGTAGGTGGAGGAGACGAAGGGAAAGTATGAGCAGGGGTAGCTGAAAATGAAGGTGGTGATGAAGTGGGCCTGGGCTGGGAAACAGGTAAAATGGGCCTAAGATTTGTATCAGAGGAAGAGGGCTTAGGCGTTGACCCAAGAGAAGGGTTAATGCCCACTCGATCAGAAATCGGTAAGGGGAGAACACAGTCAGAAAAAATGGTTGGAAAGAAATCAGGAGGTGGATTAATGGCGAAAGGAAAAATCGTCTCATGAAAGACGACATGGCGAGAAATAAAGATGGAATTGCTGTCAAGGTCGAGAAGCTTATACCCTTTATATCCTGGAGGATAGCCCAAGAAAACAGTCGCTCGGGCCCTTGATGAGAATTTGTGTCTGTCAGTTGTGTAGGTCGATGCGTAAGCCAGGCATCCGAAAGCGCGTAAATGGCCGTAATCAGGGACCTGTCCACGCAAAACTTCAAACGGCGATCTGTTCAGCAAAAGAGGCGAAGGAGTTCTATTAATCAAGTAGACGGCAGTACGAATGCATTCGGACCAAAAAGAGAGGGGTAGCTGTGACTGAAACAATAATGCCCGGGCCACATTCAACAAGTGTTGGTGCTTCCGTTCGACGACAGAATTCTGCTCCGGAGTGCGGGCACAGGAAAAATAATGCAGTATCCCCTTGGCCCCGAAGAACTCAGCAAATTTCAGCTCTGGAGCGTTATCCGAACGAACCGCGCGAATAGACTTGCCAAACTGTGTTTCAATAAACGTCACAAACTCAGGAATCAGCCGAAGAACATCGCGTTTTGATTTCATCATATAGATCCATGTAACTCTAGAGTGATCATCAACGATGGTTAAGAAATGGTTAAACCCGTCATGAGAAACGGTGGAAAAAGGGCCCCAAGTATCGATGTGAATGAGATCGAAGGGGCTGGAAGCAAGGTGATTATGAGAAATAAATGGTAAGCGACGTTGTTTAGCCATATGACAGATTTGACAGTGAGGATGATCCGAAAAATTTTTAATCGAAAGTAAGGAAGAAAGAGTTTTAATCTTTTGAAAAGAAGGGTGTCCAAGTCTACAATGCCAAAGATTGGAATCAGCACTAAAAGCTTGAACAGATAACAAAGGAGGAAGACGATCAGAAGAAGGTGGGCTGGACTTGAGGAAATAAAGGTTTTGACGAAGCTCAGCCCTCCCAATCGTCGAGCCCCGAGTAGGCTCCTGAATGAGACAGCAATCAGAAGAAAATGAAACAAAAAGATTAGTGTGCTGAAGTAAAGCACTGATGCTGATAATGTTAAAAGAGAAGGTAGGAATGAAGAAAACATGAAGCAACCGAAGATGATCACTAAGAGAGACAGAACCCATATGATGAACCAAAATTTGTGTTCCATTAGGCAGAGACACTGATCTTGGTCGAATCGGAACAAGGTCGGTGAATAAACGTTTGTCATAACAGACATGAGCAGAGGCACCTGAGTCAACTATCCAAGAAGAAGCACCAGAGCTGGAAATATCATCAGAAACAGAGGAGCAAACAAACGAAGAAACCAGAACATTACCAGAGGATGCAGTAATATCTGGTGAACCAGCCTCAGAAATGGAAGGGCCATAGGTGTTTAGTTTGGTGCTAAGCTTGGAGCACAGCTCCTGGAGTTGAGCGATGGAGAGTTTGTCCAGCTCCGGAACAGCAGGCGGAGGGCTAGGGGAGACGTCCTTAACCAGGTTGGCATAGTTCCCAGAAGCAGGGGAAGAATGACGAGGTGAAGGCTTAAACGGAGACTGAGACTTAGCTGAACCAGAAGGTTTATATCCAGGAGGAAATCCGTGTAACTTGAAACACTTTTGAACAGTGTGCCCATATTGTCCACAGTGGGTACATAATGGGCGCTGTCTAGTCTTGAAGGAATGACCAGCAACCAGCGCTACCTTCGCATCAGGGGGCGGAGCAGAAGACTGAAAGACCACAGCGTCAGGAGGGAGAGGAGATTTCATCAGACGCTGTTGTTCGTGCTGAATCACGAGATTGTAGGCACGCTGGATGTCGGGCATGGGATCCATCATCGTAATCTGAGTTCTAACAGCTTCGAACTCATCGTTTAGTCCATATAAGAAATCGATGACAAAGTCACTCTCAAATTCATCAGCCCAACGCTTATCGACATGACAAGTACATTTACCACAGGTGCAACGATGATTAACGCGAACTGATTTGGTCTCTTCCCAGATCGTAGAAATGGCAGTATAGTATTTAGCGACATCGAGAGTACCTTGCCGGAGACTGCGAAGTTTCTGCCGGACACGGTATTTGCGCGGAGCATTGGTTTGCTGAAAGCGATGCGCAAGATCAAGCCACATCTCACGAGCAGTTGAGATGTAAGACAGATTCTGGGAGATGTCTTCGTCAACAGAGTTTATGATCCAAGAACCGACGATCGCATTATTGCGGTTCCAGAAACGGAGAGTAGGGTCATCGTCCGCCGGACGAGGCAGAGATCCATCAACAAAGCAGAGTTTGTTGCGTCCTTCCAGAGCCATTGACACAGCCCGCTGCCAGGATCCAAAATCGCCGGCGCCCGTCAAGCGCTTGGTAACGATCTGTAATCCGCCATGATCACCAGAGCTGAGAAAATAAGGGTTATCGAAGCAATCAAAAGTTGCAGGAATCTGGGGAAGAACAGGTGGTGAAAGTATCGGTGAAGAGGAATCATCCACTGGGGTAGTGGGAGATGAAGGAGACGTCATTTTCTCGTACAATCAACAAAAGGTGAGCGAGAAAAGGGGAAAAGAGATCAGAAAAAAAAACGAGAGCCTGGAAATTTAACACAGAAGCTCTGATACCATTTTAGCAGAGAGAAAACTGCAAATGGAGAAGATGAAGTTTCTGGAATTTTCTGAATGAATTTACAAATTGGGTTTACACGTACATTTATACAGGGCAATGAAACAGAAAACGTAACAACCAGGAGAGAGAACAAATAACTAATCCTAACAGATATTGGGATTAGTATTAATCCCTTCTTAATCTATCTCGATCAAAATTGTATCTGTAATACACTTTCTGTAACTCCTTGGGATAATAATAATTCACTTTTTACAAATTTTTACAAATTGGGTTTACACGTACATTTATACAGGGCAATGAAACAGAAAACGTAACAACCAGGAGAGAGAACAAATAACTAATCCTAACAGATATTGGGATTAGTATTAATCCCTTCTTAATCTATCTCGATCAAAATTGTATCTGTAATACACTTTCTGTAACTCCTTGGGATAATAATAATTCACTTTTTACAAATTTTAAATATTGAATGCAGAATTTCTTACACAGATCATACAAATAGTACAATAGGGTGACAAGTCCAATTGATAAATGTGTGGCCTGAACCCAAATTCGCCCAATTCCACATGCACCTGTCTCTCGGGCCCAATGAATTAATTTTCTCCACGCTCCATTCATAGTTTCCAATTTTCCATATTCAACATGTCACGGACGACTCAAATATTTATCTTCATACAACAAATTGTTGATTTAAAAAAAAAAAATATAAATATCAACTTGTGAAACATTTAAACCGTTGCTCAATATTTGAGATATAAAATTATAAATTATAATTTTCGCGTGTAGTGGTAACATGGATTGTTATTATTTATTATATATATAATAAATAAAAAAAGAATGAAATCGCTATTGACTTGGTTAATAACGAATAAGATAGTAAACCCAGAAAGCGAAAGCCGGCGACCGGTGTGTTATGCAAGAAAGACAGATGACGAAAGCGCGTTTTGACTTTGTTCTTCTTTCAGGAATTTCTCTGCATGAGGCGAAATCCAGCGAAATTTTCCGGGAAAATTCCGGGGTTTTCTTCGGTTTTATCAGAATTCGGATCGACCTGTTTCTGATTTCGTCTATCGGAACCAGTTTTTGCAGTCGCCATGGGTGATTTAGTGAAGCAGATCCTAGCTCGCCCGATTCAATTAGCGGACCAGGTGGTGAAATCCGCTGATGAAGCGACCATCAGCAAGCAAGAGTGCTACGAGCTGAAGTCGAAGACGGAGAAGCTGTCGGCTCTGCTCCGTCAGGCGGCGCGTGCGAGCTCCGAGCTCTACGAGCGTCCCACTCGCCGAATCATCGACGACACGGAGCAGGTCCTCGAGAAGGCCTTGTCGATGGTCCGTCGATGCCGCGACGACGGCTTCATCAAGCGTCTCTTCAACATCATCCCCGCCGCGGCGTTCCGGAAGATGTCGGCGCAGCTCGAGAACTCCGCCGGCGACGTCTCCTGGCTACTTCGCGTCTCCGCTCCCTCCGGCGACGTAGGAGATGGAGATGCTCACCTGGGTCTGCCTCCGATCGCCGCGAACGACCCCATACTAGGTCTCATTTGGGAACAGATCGCAATCCTCATGAACGGTTTGCCGGAGGACCGGGCCGACGCCGCCGCGTCGCTAGCGTCCCTCGCGCGGGGCAACGATCGGCACAGGAAACTGATCCTGGAGGAAGGAGGGGTAAACCCTCTTCTGAGATTGTTGAAGGAAGGGAAGATCGAGGGACAGGAGAATGCAGCTAGGGCAATCGGATTGTTGGGCAGAGACGAAGAGAGTGTGGAGCAGATGGTCTATTTGGGTATCTGCCAAGTGTTTGCCAATATTCTCAAGGAAGGTTCGATGAAGGTTCAAGCCGTAGTGGCTTTTGGGGCCGTGTCGGAACTCGCCGGGAATCATCCGAAATGTCAGGAACTCTTCGCTCAACACAACGTGGTTCGACTGCTCGTCAGCCACTTGGCATTCGAAACTATCCAAGAACACAGCAAGTACACCGTGGTCACTGGACGAGCCACGTCCATACACCACGCCGTTGTAATGACCAGCAAGATGAACAACGACAACGATAGTCACGACTTGTTGCACATCAATGAGGAGGAAGAGCAGAGCTTGATCTCGCATCCGATGGCTAATCAGATACACGTGGTCACAACCACGATGGCGATGAAAGGGTCGGATGGCATCAATGCTCAGAACGGGATTAAGCTGCCGTATCAAAACTTCCATCAATCACGGAACTCATCTACTGCAAGAGGGAGGGAGCTTGAGGATGCAGAGACGAAGTCCGAGATGAAGGCAATGGCGGCGAGAGCTTTGTGGAAACTCGCCATGGGAAATGCCTCCATCTGCCAAGTCATAACCGAATCCCGAGCCTTGCTCTGCTTTGCTGTTCTGCTGGAGAAGGGCGACCCAGAAACCAAGTACAACTCCACCATGGCTATAATGGAGATCACGGCCATGGCAGAGCAAAACACTGATCTAAGGCGCTCTGCATTCAGACGCACTTCCCCGGCCTGCAAGGCAGTGGTGGATCAGCAGCTATTCCGGATCGTGGAAACCGCCGATCCAGATTCCGAGTTACTCATCCCATGCGTCAGATCCATAGGAAACCTTGCTCGGACATTCAAATCGGCCGAGACCCAGATGATCATTCCTCTTGTCAAGCTCCTAGATGACGACAGGGAACCCGAGTTAACGGCAGAAGCAGCGATCACGCTGACAAAGTTTGTGTCGGAAGAAAACTTCTTGTGCAAGGAACACTCGAGGACGATCATCGAGGCAGGAGTAGCGAAGCATCTGGTTCAGCTAGCGTATCTAGGGGAAGGAGCTCGAAAGCCGGCTTTGATGCTGCTAAGCTACGTGGCCATTAACGTTCCGGACAGCGAACAGTTGGCGAAGGACGAGGTTTTGACTGTGTTGGAATGGGCGTCGAAGCAATCCAACATCAGAGATGACGAGGTTGTCGAGAGCTTGTTGTCTGAAGCCAAGTGTAGTCTCGAGCTTTATCAGTCCAGAGGATCCAGAGGCTTTCACTCCTGATGAGATTATTGATCTCTCTTTCTCTCTCTAAAAATCAATTGTTTGATGATATTTGTGTTGGTTTGGTGTATAGATTTTATTTTCAATTGTACAAACATTTTCTTTTATTTTTATTATAATAAACAGTTTGGTTTTGAAATTTTTTTCTTATCATTTTCATATGTAGATGTTCATCGAAAGCCTGTGGGGGGGGGGGTTTACAGGCCCAACTTAAAACTGAAAAATCAAGGGCAAATTATGGGCCGAAATTTATATCTAAGAGTCAGGCCCAATAATATATAGAGAGAGAGGCCCAATGAGAAACATAGTTACGGTACACACGAGCACACCTGATAACTGAAGACCCCCGCCCCCAAGTTCCCAATCTCGAAGAATCTCCAAAAAATAAAATTTAGGCGGATTTTTAGTAAGATTTTAGGGTTTGATTACATATCTAAAACTAAAACTAGTGTTTTCTCCTTTCTGTTTCCCCTACATCAGATCTCTCTATATATAGGTAAAGATATACATCCGTGGATCCCCTCAACCAAACCCTAAATTCCTAATCTCTCTCTCATCGAAAAGCTTTTATTTTTCGTTGTTTTTGATCCGATGGCGCTGGAAGAGCAATCGGTGGCGAGATCCACCGGGAAGGTTAACTGGTTCAACGACATCAAAGGGTATGGCTTCATCACCCCCGATGACGGCAGCGAAGAGCTCTTCGTTCACCAGTCCTCCATCGTCTCCGATGGTTTCCGGAGCCTGACGGTGGGCGATACGGTGGAGTTCGCCATCACGCAGGGCAGCGACGGCAAGACCAAGGCCGTCGACGTTACCGCCCCTGGCGGATCTCCGCTCAACAAGAAGGAGATCACCTCCCGCGGAAACGGCGGCCGTCGCGGCGGCGGAGGATCGGGTTGCTTCAATTGCGGCGAGGTTGGTCACGTGGCGAAGGAGTGCCGTACCGGTGGTGGAGGAAACAGCTACGGAGGCGGTGGCCGTGGAGCCGGCGGAGAAGGGTGTTACAACTGCGGCGGTGTGGGGCATTTCGCTAGGGAATGCCGGCAGATTTCTGGTGGAAACGGCGGAGGCGGAGGTGGAGGTGGCTCGTGCTATAGCTGTGGTGGATTCGGACATATGGCGAGGGATTGCACGGGCAGGAGACCCTCCGGCGCTTGCTACGAGTGTGGTGGAACCGGTCACTTGGCTCGTGACTGCGATCGTAGAGGCGGCGGCGGTGGCGGCGGTGGCGGCGGTGGCAAGTGCTTTAACTGTGGCAAAGAGGGTCATTTTGCGAGGGAATGCTCTGTTGCATCCTAATCAACCAAAGATGAAAGAAGAGAAGAAGAGTAATATACTCTCTATTCCTCTTCCTTTCACCTCTAATCTCTCTGTCGTTTTGTTGATGGGAATGAATTTGCCTGGTCCTTTTGGAGGTTTTCTTATTATACACAGTGATGCTCTCTTTTTGGTGACTATATATATAGATATGTAGTGAACGTCTTTTCAGGTATGGTTTTTGCTTTTTGGGTTATGTTTCTTTCTTTCAAGTTGCGGCCTTTACAGTGACTGGTTTTGTTTGCTGTTGAATGTTTGAATATCGATCTTTTGCAATTCAATAGAGTGATGCTGTCTGATGGGTTTTGTTGCTTATTGACTCAACTGTTCTTGGATTATTACAGAAGTTCTTGCTGTATGTGCAATTGCAAGCTGCTGCCTTTTAGGTTTCGAACTCTGTTGTCTTATGGGTAGAGTCCATGGAATTGGCTATAGAACAATTCTTGGACGACAAATGGAATATGTTGTTATCATTATCCATATGGTTCTGCAGGTGAAAAGGATGAAATGGGTTTATGCTCAGCTTCCTTGATCTTAGTTTGGATTGTTGGATTGGTTTGTGATGGTCTTTGTCTTGTGTTTGTTTACCTAGGATATTGATCATGAACAGAGCTTTCTCCGTTATGTTTGGTATTCTTGTTCTGCCATGGGGGTTTAGGTGCATCCATCGGACTGGTCCGAGTCCGCACTCGATCCGAGGGTCTCGGGCTGTTTTAATTTTTTTCCAAGTCTATATAACCAAATTCGAAGCTTTGCCCTATAGATTTCTGGCTCGGACCTAGACCGGTCTGTCCGTTCAAAATCCTATATAAATTTATGTATTTTTTTATTAAGATTTTTGTTTTAAAAATATTGGCTTTCGGTCCGGTCTGAATCGGACCCAAAACCCAATATTTAGGTTCGAAGTCTGCTCTTTTTCAGATTAGCTCGCACCTAAATTGACATCTCCTCTCTAATGTGGGGAAAAAAGATTTCAAGGGCTATTACTATCTAATCTGATTTTGGAGTTTTCTTTGTGATTGAACTCGATTTAATGTTTTGTCCTTAGCCGGGGTACGATGATCTACACACCCTTTAGGGGGTTTAAAAAAAGGGCGTTTTCCTCCTAAACCCAAAGTGGTTGGTTATTAAATTAAACCCCACTTGACTAATGATTAGCCAAATCCAATTCTGGTGACGATCACACTCCAGATTTTAAAATTGAAAACCCAAATCCAAGTTAGCTCTCTTCCCATGGAGAAAGAGCCAAAGGGGTAAATAATATGTGATGCAATTGTTGCAATATCCATGTCCCCCCCC